AAGTACGCAATTGCACAACCCCTCTCCAAACCTGTATCGCCTAATCAGGATTTTGGATGTCATCAACTCAGGAGGGAGCCAGTAACAGCGTTTCCTCATGAATCAGGGACAGACACAAGGACACACCTATGAGACCACTGTGTTGTCACTGTGTTTTGTTTTGAATACTGTGTAATTATGTTGCAATTTTTACTCCCAGATTTCAGTAAAAAAGATTGCTGATGTTGGGAGACCTCTGTGCAAAACACCCTCGGGGAAAGAAGGCTGAAGCACTTGCAAGAGGAGTCAACCACAGTTAGGGTTAGTTATCCTACATTCCACCTACATCTCCCTGAGCGGAGATTCCTGTTAGCTAGCTCAAAATGTTTATCTGCAGAGAAGGTTTGAACTGTCTGAACACAGCCTCATCATTCAAGGTTTCATTGCCATCTCGCCCACAGTTCAGGAGATGAACTGGAATGCACCAGGTAGCTCAGAAGTAAGGTCGCAGATGCGGGAGTGGGAGGGCAGCGTCACTGGCGGTTTTTATCTTTGCAGCACTAGCAATATTTACCATATTAGCTTGAAAGCATCTACATCCTCAGCCAAAACATCTCAAGTGAAATAGCTGCATGGAAGTCAAAACACCCTTTACTTCAATACATCCAAGTTTTCGCATATTTCATACCACTTCACATAATTTAGACTGAAAAAGTCCGCAAGAGAAGGACCAGCTTCCCCACACTTCCTATGCAAATATGCACACAGTCCTTGTTAGCTTAAAAATGGTATTTTTGACACCATACGTTTTTCCTTAGATTCAGCTTGACAGCATGGAACACTGCACACCACAGAAGGCAGAGCGTTAGCACAAGTTTAGTTGAGCTGTAGCGCTTCGGCTGCAGCACATTTATTTATTAAAAAACCAAAAAAACCCAAACAAAATTATGAAATCATTGATTCAAAGGAATCAATAATAAATATTTGCTTTCCTCTGAGTTGTTCAGACACAGTACAAGTACACCAATTATAGCAGGTAGAAGAGGTGTAAGCTTCAGTTAGCTGCTGAGAAACGAAAGAAAGCTACATAACATTGTATGCATTTAATCACACTAGTAATAACAACTGGTATATGACAGTAAATGCTTTAAATACACTATTTTTACAAAATAGAGTTTGGCTTATGGTTCATTTTTTCCCTTGTGCAACTCCTGGAAGTATTATCCGGAGCTCAGAAAGTGTCCCTTTGAAAATAAAACACCTTTGAAATGACCTCTTTCTCCTATTTTCCTTTGAGTAATAAACTTTTCCCTTTGGGCTTCAGGCTAGCAACTGAAGCGCAGGATTGACCTCACCTGCGAGGTCGCTGATGTGTGCTTTGAGAAGCACCGTGGCGTTGCAGACTTAGTGATTTTTACGTCACTGTGGTGCCTGTCTAACCAGGGCCACGCATCTCTGTTCCACGGCAGGAGAGGGCCACGGTGCCTTTTGTGACACGGTTTATATACAGGATATTCTGCAGGTGTCCGGGCAGCGGGCACATGTACTGCCCGCTTCCCAACAGGGCCAGGAACAGCCGGGAATGATCACATGCACCAGGCTTCCGCAATTGCTTCTGACTAACTTCTTCTCCCCAAGGTCCATAAACCTTTCATCCCATGCAATCAGACAGACAAGGAGTGACTTCTCTGCTCCAGGAGAGGGCTGCCACGGCTGATCTGGCCTGCAGCCTGTTCCCAAAGGCCTCCAGGAAAGAGACTGCCAGAAGCAGGCTGGGCAAATTCTCTTAGCCGGCAGCAAGAGGCCTCTAGGCTGTAGACAGCGCAGCTTTGCTAATTGCCAGTCTGGCCTGTGACTCAAATAACCTGCAGTATTCAGTACTCACACTGCAGCCAGCTCAACTGCTTGAATTGTTACCCTGGTTTTGTGGTCATAAGCTCCTGCTTGCTCAGGTGTGTATCCTGCACCGAGGAAAGTGCTCCTGGTTTACTCTGCGTAGAATAGGCATTCTCAAATGCAGCACAGGTAACATTAAGCACAATAAGCAGCCACAGAAGAAGCCACAAACTATTTTAGCAGTCCTACTCAGGCTTTTCGGGACTTTACCAGCTCTGGAGTACCTAAGCCTTCAGGGTTCAGGAAGAGAGCAACTGCAGGGGAATCGCAGATATGCACAGCTGCTGCTTCCAAGCAGTGACAGCCACTACCAAATCCACCCAAACACAGCTGATCCAGGAAGGCGCCTTTGGAGTATCCAGGGAATCTGTCTAGGTAAAATGACACAGTATCCAACACCAGGAGCTGTCACAAAAGTGACAGACTTTGTCACTTCTTCAACACTTTAAACCAGATGTCTCCTTTGTTGGAATCTGTGACTCAAGACTGCCTTCCCTGCACAACAGGTCAGTGCTTTGTCCTGCCAAGGCTGGCTGGGGTGGCTCGGGGTACAGAGAGCAAGTGACATTTCGGCACATGTGATGAAAATGGGCGAGTGCTTCTAAGAAGGGAAGATCTCAGATAGTAGAGGGCAAGTTCAAAAACCATTTCCCATAGTTTTCCATACTTCCCAAGGAAGTAGCCCCAGCAGGGCTTGGCTTGGATCAGATTAAGATCTCAAGCAAAGAAGCTGGAATTTTGGGTCTCAGTCAGAAAAGGAGATTAATGACAGTGTAAAAGCATTACAAGTTTGTGATTCTTCTGTGCTGATCCATCTCCTATAGTCTCATTCCAGAAACTGGAAAAAAACCCTTCCGTCCCTCAAATGAAAAAGAAACCCCTCATTTTTTATCAGGAAACCATCAGTTCAGGAATACAGGGATCTAGAACCCTCAAGCTCCATGTATAGCTCGGTGTGTAGCCGTGGTCAGAGCCAAATCCTTCAGAAGAAAATATAAATGACACATCTGCCTCCAGAGGAGGCTTGTCCCCATCTCCCACCATTTCCTATTAGCCTTCAGCTTGAAGTGTAAGACTCTATATTCCTCCAGAATGTTTAGTCTGGCTAATTTAATCACAGAAAAATACTTTTTATGATTCTTGCAGGTTTTTTTTAAGGGTTGTGCTGAGGTTTAAGCCTCAACAACTGCACGTGGCCCAGCATTTGGTGTACAAACAGGACACTGCGCACAAATATTTTCAAAGCAGCATTGTGCTTGTTTACCTGTCCCTGGTGTCTTGTCCTCACTACGTGCTCTGTCACTCTTTCCTTCAGCCTTACCTGGACACCTGAAGGTCAGCTCAGGAATGCTGTTCATTCAGTCTTGGGAAGAGCTCTCCATAAGGCTTCTACAGCATGGCTCACCCCAAAACCGGTGAATTCACAACCTGGCAATAGCAAAGGTATCTTCCAAAATGCTTCATCCAGGCTTTTGGGTAGATTAGCAGCCCTCGCTTTTTGAGGTACCGCCTTCATTCTGGGTTCAGTGCCCAATTCTCATCACACTAAGGCTCATTTGCCACAGATGCCACCGAGGTGGGGTTTCTGTGGCTTTGCAGTGCTGATCATAAAAGCAGAATCAGGCTCCTGGCCGTATCCCTCTGGGTACATCGTTAAGTTTATTTTGGCAATTAAAGCACCTCTGTTTCCTTGACATAAAGGGTCCTCTCTCTTTAGTATGGAGATTAGTTCAGACACATGCCTTAATACTGCATCTCTTGGCCTTCTTGAGTGATCCTTTCATTTCCACTTTAGTTCCAGCCTCCAAAAATATTTCACTAGAAGACTGAATGCAGAAAACGTGAAGCGTCTGTCAGTTCCCTTTGAGGCTGAACACCTTCAGCAGAGGGTCTGCCTCAAAAATCTTCAGATAAGACAATGCATCTTTGAGAATGTTCTCCAAAACCAGTACAAGAGACTTTTCCCTCTCCACAAAACCTCTCGGACATATTATATGTCTTTATGTCTCTGTTGATCCCTTTTAAAAAATCCTGAGGTTTGGCTTCATTTCATTTGTACAGCGCCTAGCTGTTGTAGTTGTAAAATGCTCGGTGTTCCATTCCCCAGAAAAAGACAATTTAAAAAGAAGGCTCCCTTTTCTCTCAAATGTATCTATCTTCAAAAAAAAAAAAATTCTGTATTAGAACCTCAGTGCTCGAAGATGTAAGAAAGAGTTGAGTGGGAGGGCTTCTTGTGGTGTGAATAATCACGAGTGATTAAAATGAAGCTGACCAGGAAGATAACTAGCTAATCTAACAACTCCTATGTGGCTGGTGGTATGTGAAGTGTTTCTGGGCAGAGGGAGTCTCTGGACGGCTGGCAAGCAGTCACACGGTCTGGAACGCTCGGCTCTGGGCAGGCACCATGACCAGCGTCGCTCCCATTTTCATCAGGTTAGCGTAGTCGACTTTCTTTGGCTCAATTTCTTTTCCTTCCGTCTCCCTCTGGCCATATTGGGGAGGAGTTAGATGGGGAGTAGCTTCCGTTGACAAAGTCCGTTGGCTGCGAGAGGCACTGTTGGCTGTCGACCGGGTTGAGGAGGAACCTGAGCGCGAGCTCCTGGAACCAGAGGAAGAGGAACTGGGCTTGACGAGATGGGCCTTGGGTGCCTCTGCATCTTCTCTGCAATCGAACAGATGACAAGGCTCAAACACCACAGGAACAGAAATGCTTATACCTTTTACCTGACTGAATTGTTGATGCCACAAGCAGTTGCTTATTGAAACTGCGAATCCCAGGGCATATTTGTCCAGCAGTTTGAGCAAGGTACAAGGTTTTCTGCATTCTGTGCTATGTAACTTTGTGGACTGAACTCCCTGTTGCTCTGTGGAGCTATTGGTCAAATGGATTTAGAATACATGGCTCTTTGTGTGTGGCTTTTCATTGTGGAACAAATGCCAAGTGTCAGTGCAAGCAGTTCAGATAGAACTGTGTGCTCTGTAATCCTTACTCATAACGACAAATTACCTAGACAGGATTAGCTGAGACCAGTTCTTCTAGTTAAAAAAAGTGAGTAGTGAAAGAAGCACAAAAACTGGGCCCAGAGAGAGAAGAAGTAACAGTCAGGCATGAAAAGGTGACACGTGAGGCTGAAACCCAAACTAAAAGTAAAAAGTCATGCAAGATTCGAAAGCAAAGAGAACAGGAAAAAGGGAAGGGAAGAAATCAGCAGACTACCCTCTTGCTGGCAATCTGACCATCAGGCAGAGTAATCAGCTGCTGAATGGATTAGAGAGATGCCAAATGGTATCTAAATGTCCTATGAGGGCAGGCGGTCTTTTACAAATAGATGTAAGGATGGAACAAGGCAAAAGGTTTCCTCAAGGGCAGGAGCAGCTAAAACTCATTCCTGCAAATATCTTTTTCCAGCACTTTCCTTCCTGAGAAGTTTAGGCTGCCTTGGCTGGAGACCAATCCGTGCTTAGGGGAGTTAAGTGGCAGACCTCACACGCATGTAGCAGATGAGTTCAAAGAACATGCGTCAGCGTTCTTGGTACACCCTCTCAGGGCGAGGCTTCTCAAGCCTGCACACAGCAGCTCAGGGGATTTTTCACCCTGAGCTAAATCCAAAAGCACAGTTGTTCAAAAGACTCAAGAAAGACTGTGGGAACCTGCCTGCCTGGTAGCATTCCCAACAGAAATTGCAATTGAAAAGAAAAAAAACCAAACCCAACACACTCAAAAAAATCTCTGAGAACCACAATGGAGAGTGGGTTGAATTTAGTGCTGGAGAGGATTATGCAAATACTTTAAAATGCTGAAATTGCAAGTGTGAGAGAATATTTTGTTGAGTTTTATGCTAATTTGTCCTGGGGGAAGACACATTTTCATCTGTAATTTTCTGGAAAGTCTTCACAAAGATTCTCACAGTCAATAAATTTGTCACTGATAGTTCAGGAAGACTTTAAAAGTCTTTTTAGAACAACCTTTTAAGATACTTACACCTAGGTTACTTAAAACAGTAGCGAAAAGATGTGTGAAACTGAAAAAAGAGAGGGTGGGAGGTGGGAGATTAAATACAGGCGTTACCTGATTTCATTTGGTGCCTCCTCTTCCTCATATCTCTTCTTTTCTTTCCTCCTTATTGTCAGCTTTACCACCAGAAAAAGGAGGGAAAGTCCCAACACCACTCCACAAACTGCTCCAGCGATCATGCCGATATTTTGTGCCTCTGTTGTTCAGAAAAAACCCCCGTGTTAATCAGTAAACTCTCCCTGGGGTCTCGTGGTCAGATTCTAGTCCACAACAGCATTGGGTATAAATCAGAACAGAATGTGTTCGTCTACTTATTTAGGTGTGTCTCCACACAGAAGTTGAACCAGTTTCTCTTCAGGCATTGTTTCTAAACCTGAGCTAACAGTGGGAAAAGTAACTCACTTCCCACTGGAAAGGTGGGATCGCAAGTGCTATGCCCTCAGCTACGGGTCAGAACTGAAAAGGGCAGGGAAAATCCTCTCGTCAGCACACAGAACCACAGCAAGTGCAGACAGACAGGACAACCCACATACGAAATGAAGCACCAAGCAGTTTTCTAGAGGCAGAAGAGCATTTGAAGTATGAATGTTGAACTATGAATCCGTGATGATTTTTTTTCCCCTTTCAACTCACCCTGAAATGATTACAATCCTCTTGCAGAATCAATTATTCAGTTGGGGGAAAAAATGACCTGAGCGGGGTAGAGAGGAAGGAGGAAAGGAAGACCATACTGTGCTGGTGCAAGGCATTTGTCACTCAAACTAACAAACTTAATGAGAGAACACTTCCTAGTGTGTATGAGCCCTCAGCTGCTACTTTATGACTTGATAAGAGTGGTTAGGTTGGGTTTGGCTGAAAGTTGTTTCCTTGAGGCTTGTCCCTGTGGAGGGTTTAGCAAACCAAAGTGAGGTTTTAAACCAATTCATTTCAATTGGCATAAAAGCTGCCTGGACACTTTTACTTCAGATGCCTCAGGCAAACAGGTTTTCCATTCTGCATGACCATATTCCAGTCATTTCAGGCCTGGCTGGGCAGAAAAATTTCAAAGCTATGTAATCTCCACAGAAGAGACTTTGCTATTAGCAGCTTTTCACCACAGCAGATCCAGCTCCTGATGATCTCTCCTGAGAAGCTGCACCTAAAAACCGCCTGAACTGTGATGTTTGGGTTTGTCCTCAGTGCCGGTGCTAACTACCACCCTTTTCCTCGCGTACATATGCAAAAGACAGATACCCAGACACGGACACACCCCCGATGGGGTTGATCAGGTAGGACACTGATTTGTATCTCTGGTGTTCAGGACAACATTTATTAAATTTGGATTTTTTGCGTGAAAAGTTGCTTTTTATTCTGCGCATTCCTTCACATCAAAGTCAGGCCTTCCAGCTGCCTTTAGATGGTTTATTATCTCAAGCACAACGGATAAGCACTGCTCTGTGGTGGGGTGAATGCTGGTTATGTGCCAATACTTACGCTGCACTGTCACCTGAACGACACAGCTTTCTTGCCCAGCCTCGTTGGTGGCGATGCATTGGTATAACCCTGTGCTCATCCGCGTGAGATTTTTCAGTAGGACTTGCCCAGGATTAGAAATGTCTGAAACAAGAAAAACACCACCGGGATTGATCAGAAAAGACCAAGAAACAGGAGATAGGACACAGAAGCACAAACTGAACTTCTGGATTGAGTCAGTTCAAGAACAATCCATGATGCCTTGTGAAAGATCATACATCAACCTTCAGCAAAACGCAGGCAAACTCCTCGTGCTCTCCCCAGTTCAGGGTGGAGCACAGCGCAACGTGCAGCTGCAGCAGTGAGAGGCACTGGTAGTCGTCATCGCTGCCACCAAGTGATCCCTGTTCCAAAAGCAGGCACGTGACTGTACACGTGCACGTACGCGTGGGTGGTTATCTGGCTTTGAGGGTGCCAGAGCTCTGAGAGGAAACGACCTGACTTACTGACTCTTGATGTAGGCGGGAGATGCTCAGCTCTCTTGTCTTCCTCGTTTATGCGCTGCCATCGGTAGGAGATGGGTGCCGTGCCAGAGGCGGATCGGCACTGCAAGGACAGTTCCTTTCCTTCCAACAGCTCCCCTTCCAGCCAGCATTTGGGCTTGGAAGGTTTTTCTAGAAGGAACAGAAGATGGATCATTCAAATGCAGCACATTATTTTCTCGGTGCAAAACCTTTTCTTTGGCAAAGCACGTAATTTAAGCAACTTCCAAGAGCTGGCTTCTCTGGAATGCATTAAGGAATTACACCAGCAATGTTTGTTAGGAGGTTTTTGCTGCAACTGCATGCAACTTCATAGTCTAAGAAGTGGAGCTGGCTGGCTCAGACATAGAAATGACACCTTATAATACCCGGAGGTAGTTTGCCTCTTGGATACTCGCATCAGTGAAGCTGTATCAGAGTGTTCCTCTCCTAGGTACTATTTATAGAGAACATCCTTTCCCTCCCCCTGCTTCTCCATTTCTTCCTTCTCCCCACAGTATCTGGCAGGCAACAGAACTTCTTCCATGGGATAAGATACGTGCCAAAAGCCAACCAATAAACTGAAATCAGGGAAGAGAAATGTTAACCCTGGCAGCTTATTTGTCACCTCCGCTGACATGGATCAGCTTGGGGTCCTGAGACATGATCCCAGAGTCCTCAGCAGGAGAGCTGGACAGGGGATCGCCAGCTAAGCTAGAATATCAGTCTGGTTTGTGTGATGAGATCATAGAGATAATTTGGAAAGAACAGTTCATATGATTTTGCAGGTGATTATACTTACCTCAAAACAGTTCTTCTGGCTCTTCCTGTGTCCTGTCCTTTGCCAAAAAACGCAAAGGCAGAAACAGTGTTGGACAGTGAAAACTGACTGCGAGATGTCTTTGTATTTATACCCTGCTGAAACAAATCTCTCTCCAGGAAATGAGCTTAGGGATTTTTTTATTTTGGAAGAACAATAAAGTGACCTTACCTACAACCTTCAGGGTGATGCGAGCCCATTCGTACTGCCCAGCATTTTTAACCTTACATATGTACTTCCCTGCATCGCTGGACTGCAGGGATATGATTTGTAAGGACGCATCTCCAGCAAGAAAGTTGGATGTGAAGGAAACACGCCCTTTCTGTTCCTCATTCAGGTCATCATAAATGCGGCCTCCAGAGTAAGTGATCACCTGAGGACCAGAGACAGTCGCTGATCAGCCAGTTGTAATTTTACTTTCACACAGGACAACAAATCAGAGCATTTCCAGAAACTGCAGACTGAAGTTCTGCATGGTTAGGTGACATGCCAAAGGTCACGCAAGAAGCTTGTGGCAGGGTGAAAAATTAAACCTGGATTTCAAGTCTGAGACTGATACATAAACTGTGTTTATGCCAGAGATTTGTAGTGGCGCATTTACACTAGTGACAAAATAGACATCAGCTTGTGCCATAATATATAAAAGCACTCTATAATTTTGCCTGGTTTTGGGTAGCCAATTGAAGTTACTGCAGACCTGATTTTTATAAGTACAAAACTACTATATTTTTTCCTGAAACCAAGGTTTCAAAAACCAGGCCTACAAAATCCAAGGTAGTTTCTGAAAATCTGAAGGGCAATTCTCAAGTTTATCCAGTGATGACTGATTAAATAACTGTGTTAATTTAAAGAAAACTTGATCGTAACACAACCTGTTCTGACACAACACGTATGAATATTAAATAACTTCAATACCTTACAAGTCTCTCTAAAGAAATCAGCTGTGTTTTCTCAGCATTGTTTATTTCATCAGAATAACTTGCAAAGACGACCACAGAATTCTCTTTACGTCAATGGTGTCTGCTGCTGATGTCAACACAGAATTAAGATGATTTTCTCAGCAGAGGCTGATCATGGCTGAACCTACCGCTTTTTGTACTGTTTCTGAAATGTGGAGCAGCCACTCAATATCCAGGCTCCCTTGCTCCAGGAGGCCCAGGCGGTGGTGACAGGGCAAAGTCACGTTTTCTTCAGCCACTCTCTTAAATTCAGTCTGAGCCTCTGACAGCCAAACAGTACAGGAAGCTGAAAGAGAGATGCTGGTGGTCAGAGGCCAGGGTTAGGGATGCAGCTCGACGCTGGCAAGTGTTGCTAGCTTAGATTTCGCTGGAATCTTCATTTTCTTCACAGCATCAAAGAAAACCCAACAGCTTGGCTTCCTGGACAGATTGCAGCTGATTCAAGAGAACATCTATACATATATAGGCAGTTAGTTTCACACTAATATTTAAGCATGAAGAGCAGATGGCTTCACGCTCCAGAGCTGTCAATGCTCAAGTTGCACCCACATCCTCTATGCACTCAAAATTTCAGATAATCTCCTCGGGTTTTGTCTTCACCTTTTATTATCTTAATTCATAAGCAGTATTTCCACCCAGCAGACCTTCCGAGCCTATCGCTATTCCTGCATCAACCTGACATAGCTTGGAGGCTCTTCCCTAACGCTGGATGATGTTAGTTGCATGCATTTCAGCACTGGAAATAAGGGACCAGCCTGGGAACGACAGGGTTAACCTTAAGAGTAGGCTAGTGTCTTTGAATAGCAACGTCAAGAAAAGATCCTAAATTGTCAAAACCAGTTTGTCAGGATTAAAAAAAAAGAAAGGGGGGGAGGAGGAGAATTTACCAAGCGAATTGCCACTAGGGGGAAGCAGAGCCTTTCAAATGTTAAGCAGTAAAACTCAAAGAGCACGTTAACGCCCCAAAACCTGGACCAGGAGAGGGTGCCCCGCCGGAAAACTTGATGCGATACGCACTGTGAAACGCGCACTTCGCTTCTATACTGCATCCCTGCTAAAGCTGAACAAAACCAGGGGTCGATTCTTGGCTTTGCCCTTCTCCAACTTCCGATAACACATGGACTCACTAAGTTCAAACTCAATTAAAACTACCCTAAAGGTGAGAGATACGGAAAACTGAGGGCATTGTGGTCAGGGATCCCCCAATTCTGCTATGACACCAAACAAAAAATTTTCTAACCATGGGCATTTGAGGCACAAATTCCATCTGTCTTCTGTGTAGCAATCTTCAGAGCACAGTTGTGTTGTTCTTAAATTTTGCTGTGCAAGAAGAAAGCCTAAAAGCATTTTTTTCCCCCTCTGTGAAATGAAGTGAGAGGAAATATCTTGCTTCTTGGACCAATTATTGTAAAAATGATGAAAGCCCTGGGACTTGGCAACACTAGGAAGTCACATGTGTGGTGGGACACACAATCCTGTGATTACATAGCCAGATTACCGGCCGGAGCGTAAGAAGCTCTAGTTACATAGGCTAAATTTGTTCCTATACTTACATTTAAAGAGTAGAACTTTAACCTTTCCTTTACCTTTAAGTGAAAAACAAAACTCCAACCCAGGAAAAATTGCATCCAACATGACACTTCCTCAGCTTTTTCTGTGTCTTCAGGACCAGCTCTTGTTTTAACAAATTCGTTCTGTTCCTGCTCCCATTCTCAGACCTGCCTCTGAGTTGTTAGCATGGCCATCCCTCAGCTCCCGGGCTTCTGATACTTGACCAACGCTTGCCAAGCACTTCTATAAAAGGTGTCATCGATGATGTGCATACACTTATATACAGCACCCAGAATTTTAAAACAGGTGAACTCTCGCAAAGGATTACACTCTCCTCCCCTTCATGGATCTCTGCATGAATCAATGAGAGTGAAAGCTCCTTTTCAGCCACATTAGCTGCTTTCTTTAAAGGGAAAATTAATCCAGTTTATCACTGGATTCACTAGTCTCAAAGCTCCATCTGCCAAATACAATTATTCGTTCTGCCTAAGATGAACACCCGCATTCTCCTGTGGCCTACATTGCTGCGGGCTGCCTTCATTAACACGCTGACACTCGCTAGATGACTGATCAATAAGTTTAATTTAAGCACCACAATAGTGAGCATTCACATAACGTTCACAACACTTTCCAAGTCCCGTTCCAGCAGAGCACTGAGGTTTTGCACACACCTCACAGGGTATTCTACGTTTTTAAATGTAGTTTTGCATGAGAAGCCTTGCTCAGGATTTATAAATCACCTTTTGAGGGAGTGTAACAAGCATCATTTTCATTCCTCTCCGGCTTGGGAGACTGTTTATTTAGGAGAGCTCACACCTTGGTCTGCTCTTGTTGCCTGCAGCAAACATACTGTGAGTTTGAGACCGAGCCCTGTGCCTATACGCTCAACTTCTAAACAGAAGTAAGATCAGGGAGACATCCAGTGAGATGGTGACTGCAAGTTTCTAAAGCACTCTTTACTTTTTCAATATATGCAAAGATAATTTGGAGCTGATTCACCATGGAACTGATAACCACATTGTCACGCACATCGTGTACTTTTCCATGACACGTCTGTCTTATTAAATAAAAGCCCACCACCTTCTCCCTTTAAGTCCTTATCAGTTCTCAAAAAAATGCTCACGAACTCACAAGGAAGTCCAAGTTTTGCAGGTGTTCTACACAACCCCCCCACCTTGTTTTCTTTCCAGTCACCTATACACATCCAAAAGGAAGCTCAAAACACAACTTCATAAAAGCACCCAACGTAGGGTTATGGAAATTACCCTCACAGAATCCAAAGAGAACTCAATATGAACAAAGCTCTTGCCTTTCAGTAGTTTGGGTAGGGTCTGACTGTATCAAGCAGCGATGGAATGGAAATCTACCCTTTAGATACGTGCTGAAATTTACAGTATATGCCTTGGAAAGAAAAAGGAACTACAAAACATATCTAACACCCCCCTAGGTTAACGAAGAATAAATGCCCTCTGAAGTTCTGCGTTGGTGTGGATGAGACTTCACGAGAAAGGCCAAAAGAAATCACATTTAGCTGATAGCGCTTTTGCCATTTATTCCCCACCCCCCTCAGTTTAAATTTCATTTAAATAACTACTAAAGGAGAGTGTCTGCTTAAGGACAGCCCCTTACAGCAGCAAACACATTCATATACTTGCCAGGACATACATTGACTAGTTGGTAAAAGCTTGGCCCTGGCAAGCAATTTTTCTGCTGGGTGGGTGCAGGACTGGCTCCATAGCCCCCCTTAGAGACCCTCGCAGCCACCCACCCAGTGATGCCTTAGGGCTGGCCCCAGCAGCCCTTGGGATTAAGGCAATAGATGGTTTTCCCAGAAGTCTCGCTCAGTAATGCCACATCTATGCAGGCTCCGCAGTTCTTACCCCCAAAACCCTCTTCCCCTTCCACATCCTGTGTGCGGCTCCCTAGGCTACAAAGAGCAACTCAGGAATTGCTGCTTTCAGCCTTACTCAGGCTTTACTCAGCCTGTGTCCCATGCCTTCGCAGGGAGGTGGGTTTGTTTTTCCTGCAGAGCAGGAACCCTGAGCTTATTGCGGCTGCAGCATTTCGAAAGCATTGGCTGTGTGCCTGAAAAAAGTGTTGGGTGCAGTGCCAGGCTTGCTGACACACCACAGGCAATGCAATGTTCTGTATTTGGGGAGGAGGAGACCACTGTAACGTTTAAATGTTCGCTCCATTGTTCAGAAGGCAATAACTCACCCAACACCCTGCAGAGAAGAGCTTGTCTTTCATCCCTCACTGATATTTTAAGTATCCAAGAAATACAGAGCAACAAATATTTTAAACAATACCAAAGCTCACACACCTAATCAGTCAGTGCCCAAACAGCCCAAGCACGGCTTTACCAGGGGAAGGGCACCGACCGGGCCAGAGCACACAAAGGGATTGGTAGCTCTCGGTAACAGGGCATTCTCTACAGCCTGCTATGCATGCAAGGCAGGGGAAAAAAAAAAAAAAAGAAAAGAAAAAAAAAAGAGTGGACCATATCCCGCATCTTTCTCATGCAAAGATGTGAGTCTTAATGTACTTCCCAGCACTCCTTTCAAAGGACTACTGATTTTGAATGCATATTTGAATTTCAGAAAAGTGTCCTTTGAAATGGATGTAGAAGGAAGGAACCATCTCCTGTGCAATGCAGCAAGTGCTGAGCACACTGAGACTGTGCGTTTGGCCTCATCACAGATTATGACCACCGAAGTAGTGCTTTCATGTCTCAATCCTTAATGTGGTCACACATGCTTTCATAGGCATGCTGTTATGAAGCTCAGTTTACTTTCCTGCCCATCCAATAACAAATATATGTATATACACAAGTGCACATATATACCAACAAATATGCATAAACCTACGAGCAGAATCAAAGTGAAAATAAATGGTTGGCTGACATTTTTATTTCTAGGCACATTCATGTGCTAAAAGCTGAAGAGCTTCCAGATTTAAATCTTTCATTAGGTTCAGAAGAAGGTTTGAATTAGGGAGCAATGCTAAATATAGATTATACTTTTTAAAAAGTAATAAGTTGTACTGTATCGCTTAACTACTGGAATTTGGAGGAACAGCCTAGAAAAGATTCAGTGAAATAAGATAAAAGAAATCCCTAATGATGTTGTGTAAACTTGGCTCAAACCATACCTACACCATGTTCATTTAAAATGTGAATATCCAAAATGAGTCTTGAAAGATTTCAGTTGCTCCAGGAACGTCTGTGAAGTTTATTTTCCAGCTACAATTTTTATAATTTCATTTGGCTTTTTATCAAAGATAACATTTGCATCAGACTATTCCAAGACACCAGTGTCCAAGGAGGAGTAGAAATACAACCTGTAATTTTCTTGCAGCTCGAGACATCCTGTATTGGCACCAGCCAGAGGGAAGCAAGCAACCCAAATCTGCCAAAGGACACACTTCACTACAACAGCAAAAGCAGGAATTCCAACTGTATCGATACATTGAGCTTATGGCACCCTCTGGACAATTTCCATTTCACCTGTGACAGGTGCTCTGTCTGCTTTTTTCATTAGCATCAAAGTGTTTCCTGGATGAAAGTGTGACAGGAACAGAGGATGGTCACTCTAGTCAAGGTGCATCGCACCATTTCTGGAAGAAAAAGACACATTCTCAAGTGTAACCAATAACTTTGTGGTCTAATTCCGAGTCCTTCTTGGGATACTCTTAATCATATCCACTATCTGTGTCATTCCACTACCTGGAAACGGGCACCTTCTGAGAAG